AGAGCAAGCGAGCTCAAGCCATTTCCAATTTTGGTAGTGTCAGTCAAATACGCTAACCCGCCTCGCCCACCACAGGCATGGCGGACACCAACACGGTTGTTGCCCCCAAGTAGTTCGGTCTTGATTGAGGAAACGATAGATGGAGACATGTAGCATCAGCCGACGAGTTGAAGTACTCTAGTACCAGGTAGGACGTCAGGAGGTCGTTGGAAGGCGTCCAAGGACCAAGGACGAGTGCGTGGTACAAGGAATGGCGTCCGTCCGGTTGCCTTTCTAGAGAGCAAAGCGAGGACAAGATGGTAGGCTCGACGCTGCTGGTGAACCCTGCTCGGTCTCGTGCGAATGCTGTCTTATGCGATGGACGGCGCGTGCATCCAGAAGAAACGATATCAGTAAGCAGCGAGTAACTCGACAGCGGCGTCTGATAACGTGAGGGCGCGTGAGACGAAGCCGTAACGTCGACTATCTCTGCACATGGCGCCCAGGTCGCTCGCGTCGTGCCCCATACTACTAGCGTGGCGTATTCCATGTGTCTTATGTGGGCACAACTGCAACATCCCATTCTACGTCTCGCATCTGGACCAAGATGGCATCATTCACTGCCTCGTACGCCATGGCGCGATGCAGTAATCGATTTTACCAAAGCTCTCAACGCCTGCATCTCATCCTCGAGCTACGCGTTCTTTCAAACGAATGTCGAGTCTGCGGATTGCGCCATGGCTACTTGCGTCTTGCATCCTACACTGTAGAAGCTTGGAACGAATGCCCTCGAGGTTCTAGTGTATTCGGTCTGTCCTCGGCACCCGGGCGGCGTCCGCGTGAGGCCAAGTCCATCCACCATCATAGTCGTTCGTACAGTCGCGGGGTGTACTAGACAATGTTGATGCAACAGCGCGTCCGACCAGACGCGCTCCCGAAAAAAATACACGGTGCAGTACCAGCTGGTTTCGCGAAATTGCACTTTCCAACGCAAGTTGCCCTTGGACGCAGGGGCACATTTTTGCATTTGAACAACGAGAGTATGGAGTGGCATGTCGAGGGCAGCGAGGCGCTGCGCATCCAAGCCGAGATGCAGGCGACCGCGTTGGACTACATGGCCCGGCAGTGCCCGCCCATCGCGCGCGACACGCAAGCTATTGACGACGGCTTCAAGCTCGCCAGCACCAAACTCGGCCGCGTCTACACGCGACGCGCCGACAACTCGTCCTTCAACGAGCTCCTCGTGCTCAACACGCTGCCCATGAGCTTGGACGAGGTGGGGGAGCTCCAGCACGCGTCGTCCAACGACGCATTCCGCGTCGAAATGGCCTTGTACTACGGCGACGACTTTCGCGACGCTGGCATCTTGCACACATCGGTGACCGCCTCGACCCGCGACCCGTTCCAGTGGTTTGGCGTCAAGTACAAGAAGCTCAACATCCCGGGCAGTGGCTTTACCGACGGCCGCGACATCGTCTACTTTGAGGTATGCATACTACCTGGCAAAGTTCAATGCGTTGACAAAATGACGTCTAGTATATGGCGACGGCGGTGGACGCGGCCGGCCACCGGACACTGCTCATCGTGCGTGATTCGAGCTACCTCGAAGGCTACCCGGTGCAACCGCACGTTGTCCGTATGTACATCAAGGCGATCTTTGTCTACACCGAGATGCCGTCGGGCGACGTCGCCTCCATGCACCTTGCATTCATGAACCCCGGTGGCGTCGTCCCCGCCTTCCTCTTCAACAAGCACATGGTCAAGTACGGCGGTCTCTGCCACAAGTTCCCTCGCTTCTTGCAGCAAAAGCGGCTCTTGCTCCGCGTCGCGGCCGACGGGCCGGCCAAAAGGCACCAAGACCACGGCCGCTGTGTGGCCTGCGACACGAAGATTTCGGGCTTGAAGGCCCGGTACAACTGCCGCGCGTGCGGCGACGTCATGTGCGCGCACTGCATCGTACAAGTGCCGCGGCCGCTCGTGACCAAGCTCGCGCCGTTTGTGTCCAAAGACGACTACTGCAAACGGTGCTTTGTCGGCAGCGCCCGTCAGCCGAGCTATGCCGTAGTACACTCGCCGAGCCACAAGGCGTCGATAAATTTGGCGCAGCAGCTCGCGCACTCGGAACGGCCGCGTCGGTCCAACGCGCATGCGCTGACGGGCGAAAACACTCTGGTCGCCTCGGGACTCCACCATACGTCGCCGGGGTTGGGTCGACGGGAGGTGCCAAAGACTACCAACGAGCCGACGGCGGTTGTCACGGCCACCAAGACGCTCGACGACCCGTTTTTTGAGCGCATGCAGTCGTCGATCGAGACGCAAAAGCAAATCGTCCTCGACATGCGCGAGCGGCTCGCGCGGCAACAGCAATCACAACCCTAATCTCGGCCAACTCTTTTCTATAACTTAAAAAAATCGCAGCTTCGGTTTGTATACCTCGTTTGTTTCAACCATCGCCTTCTCGCCACCAGCGTAAGAACGAGCGAAGGAGGAAACAACCGCCGCTTACGTGAGATGGATACCGGTCCTACTCGGATACCACTGTACTAGTACGCAGTGTAGAGAGACGAGCTGCCCCGTCCACGTACACAAGTGCTTGGAACAAGATGCGACAGAAACGTTGCACCAACGATGCATGTGGTACCAAAGGTAGAAGCGAGCAGAAGGGAACATGCACGTGGTGATGGTCACGTCGACATCGAAGAAGATATTATAGGTCCAACCGCTTCGCGGTTCAAGTCACTGCTTTGTGGATCCGTACGTTCTTGACCGATCAGGACCCACGAGATTGCATGCAAATCACCCCGGCCATCGCCGCTAGCTTCGTGGACTCATGTGTCGTCCACCGTACTATCATGGAGCCATGGGTATACATGGGTAGACGTGCGAGCGATGCCAGGTACCAATGTGAATAGACGAGGGTTGGATAATGATGCGTTTGGCTTCCCTCTAATTCCTGCGCGATCATCTACCAACGATGACGGCGGCGACAGCTGTAGAAGCCGTCAAAAGTTCTCTACATTGTATTGATATTTCGTTCGGCTCGTCGTAGCTGACATCTGCGTCAGAACGCTGACTTGGGCTTGGCTCTATTAGCCTTTCCAAGGACTACGAGTTAGCTACCGTTTCAATATGGACCTAAATTCTTTGACAAGTTGGTACGGTCGACTAAACTATAGTACACAACCGACGACTTATCCTCATGGCATCGACGTTTCCTCGGACGCACCCACCAAACGCACCCTCAACCCCAAACTCAAACGACAGCGGCGACAGTTTGCATCCACAGTATTCTTCCTTCCACTGACGTCAATGACAATAAACAACTGCAATTCATACACGACAGACAACAGAACGACAGTAGACGACGTGGTACACCCAACCCTACTGCAACGACCGACAGCGGTGCTGCCGCAGAAAGGCTTGGAACTCGGCCACGTCGGCTGCGTGGCTGCGGTGCACGTGCTCACGCACGCAGCGGCGGTACACATCGTCGCGTAAGATCGGGTCCGAGATGCCAATGAGCTCGTTCCGGAATGTCGAAATAGTCTCGACGGGCAAGAAGCCGTTGCCATCGCGCATGCCGGTGGCGACCGTCCCGAGCTTCATGACGGTTTGCGTTGGACTCACGCGCTCGGCCACGACCCTACCGCCTTTTCTGTCAGATAACACGCGACTTGAATTAGGGTAGCACCATTGCAGCCAGTCGCGCCGGACGTCTTGATTGGGGTACTTTTCATCTTCCGAGACCGTCTGGACGACCATGGTCACACGGTTCTCTTCGACGAATTCGCGCATGAGTGTGTTTTCGTAGTAGTGGGCTTGGCCGCTGCAGTATGGCACCTGGTAGCGTCGATAGACCATATCGTGGTCGGTCTCGTCGAGCGTCTAAAAACACGCCATTTTGACTTCGAGTTTCAGTGTCATAGAACGGTACCAGGTCGTAGCCGGGCATGTGCAGCACGGACGAGAGCAGGTACGCACGCATCTCTTGTAGCGTGACGTCCTCGACGCGCTGGTGGTAGCTCGTCAAGAGGTACGTGTCGTCGACAGGCGCAATGTCCACCGAGAAGTACGGCTCGAGCGAGACCGGTAGCTTGCTCTCGTCGAGGAAGCGGGGCATATTGTAAAAGAGCTGCCGCGTGATCCAGTCGAAGCCCAAGTGGCGGGACGCATCGCGCATGGGCAGCGATGTCTGGCGACACACAATCGCGAGCGACGGCGGTGCGCGCTACAAGCGTGCTTGAGGCCATGCATCAAGAGGACACATAAGCGTACGCTGATGGCCGTCATGTCATAGACCCATTTCGAGAGGTGGGCCGCGAGCCGCTCGTAGTGGCAGATGTTCTGCTTGAGGCTCACGTTGGCGTCGATCGCGAGCATCGACTCGCGGCTGAGTGCGATCGCCACGTCCTTCCACGGCAGGAGGCCCTTCCGAAGGTACTGGAGCTTCTCGGACTGGCCCTCGAGGTCGGTCACGAGCGCTTGGAGCCGGCTGAGCTCGGCGCGCTTCTTCATCTGCTGGCGCCGGTCGTACATGCGCTTCTTGGCCTTCTTGTGCAGGAGCGCAGCGTCGTCGGCGCTGCTGCTGGAGGAGGCTGCGACCTCGTTGGCCATCGTCTTTCGATCAAAAATGGCAGAGCAGGGAACGGGCTCGAAGTAAAGCAATCGAAGTTTTTATCATACAGTTGTCAAGTGGGCGACGTCGTGCGGGCTTTTGTGACAAAAAGAGGGTTGCACCAGCAGCAGCATAAGGATGCGAGCAGCGAAATGCGAGCGTGCATCAACGAACCGGCCGTGCGAGCATGCCATCCAACAGCGGCGTACTACACTTTGTACTAATCGTCTAGTACATAGGTTATAGTCTAGTGCATAGATAATGATATTCCTTGTTTTATTTTTACGCATGAAGATTTATATACACCTTGGGGGCTCTACGACGCCAAGCGCGACGAGCGACCTTGAAGGCTGCAGGAATGCAATACCATGCTAAAAAACTGTGCCGTTGAAGGTAGGCATGGCTTATGGAGCAGGAATGCCTCGACTTGGTCGTCAACACCGTTCAGGTAGATTGAGACGGGGCTTCTTCTCAGTACTACGTTGCATACAAGATGTCGCGAAGCGACTCGAGGGAACAAGACATTGCTTCTTATGTGCTCAGTCGCACCATCTTGTTCGGCGGCGGCAAGACTGCAAGTTGTCGCTGCGGCGAATCTGGGCGCTCACCTGAAAGAAGCTCTTTCTGCGTTGACTAGGACCCAACAACGACGTTGTATCCGCTTACAAGAAGGCTTTACGTAGCTCCGGACGTGTGGAAACGGAATGCACTGTCGTCCTGCAGCGCCTCTACCCTCTACGCTTCAAGTTCGTCACATGGCCAAGCTCGGCTTGCTACCATTTTCGGCCCCGTTTGCTATGCATGTACAATTGCATAGTCCTCGAATGCGGTGCATCGGTGCGTACCATCACGATCGATCGCGCTCTTGTTTACGTGAATAGCACGCTCAGCAGGAAGCCCAAAAACCACAAATGGTCCTCGTAGTGTGCGTTTGCACAACAACGTCGATTGATACACTGATACATTGAAACTGCGTTTCGTGAGCCACTTGAACGGCGCATAGCACACGCTGTAAGCACGCTACGAGCACTATTCTTATGTTTTTGGGCTCCTTGGGACTTTCTCTATTCATATAGATCGAAACAAGAGACTTAGTTTCAAAGTCGAAATGAGGTCGACAAACGGCCGAGCACCAGCGCCGGCAGCCATCATCCGGATAAGCATGTCCGGATAAAACACAATAGCCAAGGAGAGTCACATGTTTCGTGGGTATTAGCCTCCTGAGCTTAACCCCATTCGTTGCCGTCCATCGATGCGTCATCCATGGCTCTTCCATCACACAAGGTAAGCGTTTCGAGGCAGCACTCCAGGCTGGCCAAAAAGGCATTAGTACTACGGTAGTATCATTGTTTTTACAACCCACGCCACATCCCAACAACACTTGAAGGCATCGACTTTTAGCACTCTGCCATTCGCTGCCTTGCACACTCGTCCTTTAACAGTCACATTTCTCGACATAGTAGAAATGGACCTCGTACACCCAGCGGCCGACAGAGCATGCATCATCCTTAGTAGTACTACATTATTGTAGGATCTCGTAACGGCTGCCAGTGTCGGGGACGTACACCGTGTGCGCGCCCTCTTACTGCGCGGTGCCGGCCTCCACGGGACATCGCTGGTATGGATGTTTCTATTCTCGGCAGTCTAGTTGGAGTGAAATTATCTCAAAACATCCTAGCACAACAAGAGTGCACTGTTGCACGCCGCCCAGCGTGGCCATGCGGAGATCGTCCAACTCCTCCTCGCTGCGGGGGCCAATGTCCACAGCGTATGGACAAGCTGTACACATGTATCAATGACAATATCTTCGTGGAACATAGGAGAACGATGGACCGCTGTTCGCAGCGGTCCTTGGGCACTACCCCCTCGTCGCGCACGCCTTGTTGGAGGCCGGTGCCGATCCGAGCAAGGCGCTGCATGAAGCCGTGCGTCTTGGCCAAGTTAACATGGTTCAAATGCTACTTGACGCCGGCGCCAACGCGATGCATGTCTTGCCTGTACGAGCAAAGTCTCGATTTGCATGTACAATAATGTACATATCCTATCTAGTGGGAGCCCGAGACGCCGTTTTCGTTGGCTGTCCAGCGACGCTACCGCAAGACCACGACAATGTTGCACAATGGTCTGACTCGAAACCGCAAAGACAGTGATGCGGTACAGTGCCTCCCTGTCTTGCAAAACGGTCTCAAAACCTCTTTGTCAAAAGGCGCAGGACGTCGACGCCAGCGACATTAGCTTTGCAAGCGATGGCCTTCTGGGCGTGGGGGCGTACGGTGCGGTCTACGCCGGTGTCTACAAGAACAAAGACGTTGCTGTCAAGATGGCCAATCGCGATGGCGCGTCCGCCTTGCGCAACGAAGTCCGCGTCCTCCAAGCGTACTATTTTAATAGTTGCATGTTCCTCATGGACTAGACTGAAACGATCCGGGAATAGGTGTCACTCGCCTTACATTGTTTCGCTCGTCGGGGTCGCGGACCTCGATTCGGACGAGCCCAAGATGCTCCTCGAGCTCATGAACCGCGGTGACTTGCACGCTTTTCTGGCCAAGGACGACGTGCTGATTCCGGTCGTCGGCGCGGCATGGGTCGTCGCCAACGCACTCGCAGATCTCCACGCGCTTGGCTACGTCCACCGCGACGTCAAGGCCGAGAACGTTCTCTTTAGCTCGGTGAGCTACATGAAGCTAGGCGACCTCGGTGCGGCTTCATCGTCGACGCGCTTCCACGAGACATCGCGCTCTAGTATCGATGGCTCGCTGGCGTGGGCAGCGCCCGAAGTGCTCGCGTCCGGCGACTACAGCCCGGCCTCGGATGTCTATGCGCTGGGCATTCTCCTGTGCGAACTCGTGCTTGGGGATGTACTGTACCGCGATTTGACGCCAAGTCAGATCCGAGACGGTGTCTGCGCTGGCACCTTGCGCCCGACGCTGCGACCTTCTTGTGCCTTTTGGCTCCGGTCGCTCATTCAAGCCTGCGTCGCACACAACCCGGGAGATCGTCCGACCGCCGAGGCCATCATCCACCAACTCCACGGGCTTGCGCCGCGACCGTACCGGCCCCATTGCCCCGAGCCGGATCACATGGAAAAACAAGCCGACCACTTAGTGGCCTCCGACAGCGACGTGGTGGTTGCCCACACTGCGTCGGCGCAAGGAAAGATACGCCCACGCCCAGATTCCTCTTCGTCCGCTGAATTGCGGGTCATAAAATTTTGCCTTTCGTTAAAGCCCTTCAAGCCATCCCCGACACCGTCCTTTCCGCCTGCACCCGCGACCTGGGCAGCTCAAAAGGAGGTAGCGTTTGTTTGCCATCCAAATGACATGTGTCCATTCTCTCCAATGTGTAGACAATTCGCAAGCGCGTGCTGGCGGCAGATCAAAGCGGTGATCGTCAAGAAGCCATCGCAACCTACAACCTGTTTTACAGACCAGTGCATCTCGTACGCGCGCGCTTGGTGTGTGTGTTTATCCTGACGCCGCTCGGTGTAGGCCAACACCGAAGAGCTCAAGACACCGCCGCGCCCGCCGATCGGTGCCGGCGGCTAC